AATCTTCACAAAATTCTGGCCACTGTAGTTAGGGAAACTAGGGAACCTAGTAAGACAGTACTGGGCAGCAAGAAGGAGCCCCTAGCAAGAGATCAGCGTTCATTCTGCAAGGAGAAAGGACACTGGGCTCGAGAATGCCCCAAGAAAAAGAAAAAGCCTCAGGCCCCCAAAGTCTTGGCCCTGCAGGAAGACAGTGATTAGAGGGCATGGGGTTCGGACCCCCTCCCCAAACCCAGGGTAACCCTTACAGTGGAGGGGAAGCCTAGTCAGTTCTTGGTAGATACTGGGGCTCAGCATTCAGTGTTACTGCAAAGAAGGGGCTACAGGGAGCAGACAATACCCATGGACTACCCGAAGAACAGTGGACGTAGGCGTGGGCCGGGTATCCCACTCGTTTATTGTCATTCCTGAGTGCCCCTACCCACTACTGGGAAGAGACCTCCTCACCAAAATGGGTGCTCAAATCCATTTAGACTCCGAGGGACCTCGGGTGTTAAACCGACAAGGAAAGCCTCTCCAGGTATTAACTCTCAGGCTGGAAGATGAATACCAATTGTTTGAGAGACAAGGGCAGGAGACTGGACAGATGGACTGGTGGTTAGAAAACTATCCCCAGGCGTGGGCAGAAACTGTAGGGGTAGGGAAGGCTAAAAACCAGCCCCCCGTCCACATAGAGCTGAAGGCTCAAGCCAGTCCTATAGCTGTCCGACAATACCCAATGTTCCGAGAAGCACATGAAGGCATCCGACCCCACATTGCCTGTTTGCTCCAGCTGGGGATTCTATGGAAGTGCCAATCAGCCTGGAACACGGCCTTGCTACCAGTCTGAAAACCTGGCACTAATGATTACTGACCAGCCCAGGACCTCCGAGAGGTAAACAAGTGGGTGACCGACCTCCACTCCACAGCTCCTAACCCCTATAATCTTTTAAGCTCTTTACCCACAGACAGGACCTGGTACTCAGCACTGGATCTCAAAGATGTATTCTTCTGCTTACCGCTGGCTGTAAAAAAGTCAAGGTTACTTTGCCTTCAAATGGAAAGATCCAGAGACTGGCCTAGCAGGGCAACTCACGTGGACCTGCCTGCCTCAAGGATTCAAAAACTTGCCCACCATATTTGACGAGGCCCTCCACCAAGACTTGGCTATGTTCTGGGCCTCAAACCCCCAGGTAACTCTGTTGCAGTATGTAGATGATCTCCTCCTGGCAGCAGCTGACGAGGAACTGTGCCTGGAAGGAACAAAGTGTCTCCTCACAGAGTTGGGAGAACTGGGCTTTCGAGCCTCTGCCAAAAAGGCTCAGATCTGCAAGTGACAGGTCAGTTACCTGGGGTACCTTCTTAAAGACGGGAAAAGATGGTTGTCTGAGGCCAGAAAAGAGACAGTGTTTCACATTCCGCCACCTACTAAGCCAAGACAAGTCAGGGAATTTTTAGGTACTGCTGGGTTCTGCCACCTATGGATAACTGGTTTTGCTGAGATGGCAGCCCCGTTATATCCCCTCACTAAGAACAGTCAGCCCTTCAAGTGGGGAAAGGGAGAACAACAGGCTTTTAACAACATCAAGATGGCCTTGATGTCCGCACCGGCTCTGGGGCTCCCCAATGTAACCAAGCCCTTCCACCTGTATGTGGCAGAAAATAAGGGGGTTACAAAGGGGGTCCTAACTCAAAAACTGGGCCCCTGGTAAAGGCCTGTAGCATATCTGTCCAAAAAACTAGACTCAGCAGCCTTGGGGTGGCCAGCTTGTCTAAAGATCATAGCGGCAGTAGCAGTTCCGGTAAAAGATGCTAACAAGTTGACTATGGGACAGAGTTTGGTAATCTCGGCACCTCATGCTTTAGAGAGAATTGTTCGCCAGCCCCCCGACCAGTGGCTCACAAATGCTCGCATGACTCACTATCAGACTCTGTTACTGAACTCAGACTGGGTTACTTTCGCTCCCCCGGTGAGCTTAAATCCAGCCACGTTGCTCCCAGACCCTGACCTTGACCCTCCTATCCATGACCGCCAACAAGTGCTTGTCAGATCAGCCTCTGACGGACGCCGAAGCCACCTGGTTCACTGACGGCTGCAGTTTTCTGGAGGAAGGAGTATGGAAGGCAGGAGCCGCTATAGTAGATGGCCAGAACCTGATATGGGCACAGGCCTTACCTGCAGGAATGTCCGCCCAGAAGGCAGAACTCATCGCCCTCACAAAAGCCCTTGAACTAGGAGAGGGCAAAAGAATCAACATCTATACATACAGCAGTTTTTGTAGACACCTTCTCTGGATTGGTGGAAGCATTCCCAACAAAGCAGGAAACTGCCACTGTCGTGGTCAAGAAAATCCTGGAAGAAATCTTCCCACACTTTGGGGTATCCAAAGTAATTGGTTCCGGTAATGGGCCCACCTTCATTACCAAGGTAAGCCAGGGAGTGGCCAGATACCTAGGGGTCAATTGGAAATTACATTGTATCTACAGACCCCAGAGTTCAGGACAGGTAGAAAGGATGAACAGAACTCTAAATTAACCTGACTAAATTAACCATGGAGACTGGCGTGGACTGGGTGGTGCTCCTTCCCTTGGCCCTGTTTAGAGCTAGGAACACCCCCTCCCGGTTCAACCTGACCCCCTTTGAAATTCTCTATGGTACCCCTGCCCCCTTGACTTTACTGGGGGACGGTTTTGAACCCACTTGCCATAGAAACAGTGATTTATATGCCAGGTTAAAAGGACTCCAAGCGGTGCAGAAGGAAGTCTGGACGCAGCTGGTGACCACCTATGAACCTGAGACCCTCGAAGTTTCTCACCAGTTCCAGGTTGGAGACACAGTCTATGTGAGATGACATCGCTCCCAGACTCTGGAATCCCACTGGAAGGGACCTTACCTGGTGGTCCTAACAACACCGATGGCTGTGAAGGTGGACAGGATCACCACTTGGATCCACGCCTTGCACGTAAAACCTGCACCACCAGCCAAAGACCAAGGATCAAAAGACGCTACCTGGAGAGTCCAGAGTTCCAAGGAGCACCCCTTCAAACTCAAAATCGTTCAGACTGGGGGTTCAGACACTTTGGATGTTGTAAGATGAAAATTTTATTTTTTCTCCTTCTGTACCTTCTGTACCTGGTAGTTTTCCCCAGAGCCTGAGAGCTTCCAGCCCACATACCCCTCAGAAATTAACTTGGTATGTTATAAATGGGGTAGGGGATACAATCTGAAACTCATCCAAAGTCACCTCAGGGTCATGGTGGCCTGAACTGTTTCCTGATGTGTGAAAATTATCCATGGGAGCCCCGCCAACTGGGATTTAGAAGGATACTTTGCTGGTACAAAAGCCCCTAAAATTCCTTACCCTATCAATAGGGTTGGAATTTCACCAGGAGTGGGATGTAGTTCTAAAAGTTGAAGACATAGGGTAAGTACCCTCACCTTCTATGTATGTCCTGGGTTCCACCGTGACAGGGAACTAAATTATAAATGTGGAAGTAAAGCAGATTATTTCTGTAAAAGCTGGGGCAGCTACAGGAATTTCAGCTTTGGCTGTTCAGTATCAAAATTACCAAAGTTTGCAGGCAGCCATAAATGCTGATATTAAAGAAATAGAAAATTCAGTTACTAAATTACAAGAGTCTCTCACCTCTCTTTCTGAGGTGGTCCTATAAAATAGAAGGGGACTAGATCTCTTGTTCCTTCAGCAGGGGTGGCTCTGTGCTGCAGTAAAAGAAGAATGTTGTTTTTACATTGATCACTCAGGGGTAATTAAAGACTCCATGGCCAAAATTAGGGAAGGCCTGGCCAAGAGAAAAAAAGAAAGGGAACAAAATCAGGGATGGTTTAAGTCATGGTTCAACTCCTCCCCATGGCTCACGACCCTCGTGTCTACCCTGCTAGGACCATTAGTTATTTTAGTATTGCTTCTGACCTTTGGTCCCTGCATTATAAATCGCTTAGTAGCATTTGTTAGAGAACGTGTTAGTACTGTCCAAATTATGATGTTAAGACAACAATATCAGGAATTAAATCAACAGGAATCAGTATTTCATGACTGAAATATGCATAAGAAAAAGGGGGGAATGTAGAGATAAAATTAACCCCCGCTTTCATAACATATGCAATTCGCTTCTGTAAAACTGCTTGCTGTGTGATAAGGTAGATTAATTAAGTTTAAATAGTATTTGAATTGCTAAAAAACCCACCAACCTTTTTGGAACATTCCATTGCCAGGGTAAAAGGGATTTCCAGGAAGGGCCTAACCACTATAAGGGTGGGCCATTCCAGGAACCCGAAGTGCACCCAGTTCCAAGAAAGGCCTAACTACTAGGTGATGGGTCACATCCCCAGTGTACCACCAATGAATTTAAAAGTCACCTCAGATGACCAATAAGCTGTGTACAACTCATCCTGTTGCCAAAGTCTGCCTACCAAACTGTATGAAAAGTGCTTGTGTTAAGAGCTTGTGGCCGCTTCTGTCCTGAAGATGGAGCGACCCCAGCATGCTAGAATAAAAACCTCTTGCTTGATTGCAGTGATCTCTGTCTCCTCGTCTTTGCGAGATGAGCCTTCCCAACAGGTAAGATTTGTGCTTTCGGGCCATTCTTACACCTGACCATTTACTTTTATTTTCCCTACACCCCACAAAACTCACTGAAGCTTGAATTGTGTCCCCCAAGTTTTATGTATTAGAAACTTGACCCCCACTGTGACTGTTAAGAGGGTGGGGAAACCCTATTATGGAAAGAAAGATGGAGCCCTGAAAACCTGATTAGATTTTAGGACCATGCAGTAGTGAATGGATTAAAAATGGTGGTCATGGGTATGGCTCTGAGGGCTTTACAAGAAGAAAAAGGAGAGTCTATCTTGTTCTCTTTCTGCTCTGCTCTCTCTACTTCCACCATCGTGCAATGTGACAAACCTGGGTCACTGTGGCCTTCACCAAGACCCTCACCAGATGTGTTCCCTGGACTTTGGACTTTCTAGCCTCCGAAATTGTAAGCAATAAATTCATTTTCTTTATAAATCACCCAGTTTCAAGTATTTGGTTATAACAGAAATGGACTAATACAAGTAATAATAACAGTAACTGTAATTACTAACCCCACTATCACTAATACTGCCACCAGTCTGAGCCCCTAGCATGCACCAGACACTGTTCAAAGTACTCTACTTTGTTGTAGTTTGTCCTCACAATAATTGTACGTAGAAAGTACTGTTAGGATCCTCATTTTACAGGGTATGAATGAATCCAAGCCTCAGAGGATTTGGAAAACTTGCCTTAGATAACTAAGAGTATAATGACCTACCTGTATATAAAAAACCTTTCTCAAGAAAATTAACCAGGGGAGCCTTGTTAATGATGATTTCAGCTTCAGTACAGATTGTCTTGTGCTGGAACACTCCTTTTACCATATATTCTCTGTGACATATTTAAATGTCAGAGATAATTTCTACTGCCAGGCCTTCCTTGATAGTACTAATTTTACACAAAACCTTAGCAAAACCTATAGTTACATTTCAATTACCCTTGAGGAATGACCTTGACACTGTAATTTTGTAGCAGTTAAACTAAAATATTATTTTTACTTAAAAAGAAGAAACATAATATAACCACAATTTTGTTATTGTGGAAAGTAGAAAAATGAGAATGTTATCTATAATTTATATATTTCTACCCTGTATTACCTTCAGGTTTAGCTGTATCATAATGAACCTATAGTTTTGCATTTGGCTCTTTCACTTAACATTATATTGAAAAATCTAATTCATTCCTAAGTCCTCTATGCTTTACTTCCTAAATACCTTCTAGATGTGATCATTTCTCCACATCTCTTCTACCACCATCCACATCCAAGCTGATATTTTCTCTTTCCTGGACTTCTAACAATATCTTCCTAACAGTTCTACATCTTAGCATATTTTTTTATATTACATGTGCATTTGGGAAAAAAGATATTTTTCATGACCAAGAATCACAGTTCAATGTATTTATTTATGAGGCTTACATATTCTGTATATTTTTTAGGCCTTTTATATCCTTATTGATATTTTTGTCCTCTGCATCCATCTAGATCTCGGAGGTGTGTTAAAATATCCTATAGATAGGTAGGATTCGTCGGTCATTTCCTTTGTTTCCTGTAGTTCTTACTTTATGGAAGTTGTTGCTTTAATTTGGTCCAGAGATCTTAGTAGTATTATGAAATATCTTTGTCTTATTTGGTCCTAAGTGTTACCTTACTTGATATTAAAAGTGTATTTTATTAGAATATGTTATTTACATTGGCATGGCACATCTTTACCAATTATTTTAATACTTGCCTTGTGAATAAATTT